AGTCAATGAAAAAACAGATATAATTTTAAACTACGTACATTAGTGGTGCATTATAAAAGTATATCTGATCTATATATATATATATATATATATATATATATATATATATATATATATATATATATATTGACGGATTTCAATTCATTCTTTAATTTTTAAATTAAGAAATTCGAAACTTTTTTATATTATTTTTCTTCCACTTACCTCCGAGTTTTTAAAGCCAGTAAAAATAATTAATTTTAATCTTTTCTCAGGGATAACTTTTTCAAAGTGAGGAAAAAAAGAAGAGAAGAAGATTTTTACGTTAGATAAAGTCATTATCAGTGTTACCGCAAGGTAAAGTTTACATTTTCATGGAAGATCAATATCAATTTTCTTTTCAATGAAAATAATAATTAATTTAGGAAGAAAAACATCGAGTACGTATATATAAATCGTACATATATATATATATATATATATATATATATATATATATATATTCTGTTTTTTTTGATTCCTACGAAATATTTTGTCGTTCGGTTTTTTCTTCGCGTCAATTATTATTCGAAAAAAGAAATTATTTCCCTATAATGCGCGACAATAATTGAAAATAATAATCATAATAATTCATTTTTAGAAAAATCCAAAATTCATTCATTGTAATTTAATGATATTAACGATATCGTGTATATACGTATGAGAGAGAGAGAGAGAGAGAGAAAAAAAAATATTTAGTATCTCAAGTGACTTAAAACAGTTTTCGTAATCACTGACTCGTATATAACATACACATTACGTTGTCATTGTTCAACGTCCTTGAAGAGGTTAAGGATATCTCATTAAATTTGTAAGCAAATATCATAGCTCGATGAGATAAAGGAGAAGAAAGAAAACAAACTGGATAGAGGAAGGGAGGGGAGAGTAGAGAGAAGTGTAAACGTTCATCGAGATCATGCAGACGGATCACTTTAATCTAGAATGCGGAGAAGAGTGTTACGTTGGAGCATAGTTGAAAAGCGTTGACGTGACTATTCTGAAACGATAATGAAAGAGACAGACAGGCAGACAGACAGACAGACAGAGAGAGAGAAAAAGAGAGAAAGAAAGATAACTAGTTAGATATAGTAAAATTCCATATCTGACATTATACATATATTTTATGAATTTCACCGAATTTCATATGATAAGAATTTGCAAAATCGTAATATCTAAGTGGGAACAAGGGACGAATTTTGTGAGGTATGTATATATGCATGTACGTTTTTGGCCGTAAGGGAATGGCAATAACACAAGTATATACGTCGACGGAAAAAGAGGTTAGGAGGAGGTTAAATTTTCTGGATCCTCCCCCTTCCAATATGGTTCAAATAACCACGTGATTTAAAAATAGTCGTTTAGAGAAAAGGAAGTAAATGCGAAGTGTAAAATGAGAATGAAAGAGTAATATACATATGTATGTATACATATATGTGTATGTATGTATGTATGTATATATACTCGAGAGAAATTCCCACTGGTGAAAATTGATCACAGTGGTTTAACCATTTGACCCGGCACCCACGGCTATCGCATCGTAACATAGAACTGAACAATGGAGCAATTTTCTCGAGCTTTCTTTCTCCCTCTTTGACAAAGGATGAAAACTTTCGAGAAGCTTTCGAAGCTTTTCTTTCTTTCTTTCTCTCTCTCTCTCTCTCGCTCTCTCTTTCTCTCTGACTGTCTCTTTCTGTCTCTCTTTCTTTTACACATGAAAGCAAAGAAACTTTGTAGATTCTTCCTTTCGAGCGCATCTGTGCGCACGAAAAATCTAACAGATGGTAAGATAAAAGAATGAAAGGACGAAAAAGAATTTTCTATTCAGTAGAGCTGATACGTATGTTTACATATGTATTTATGTATCTATCTATGTATGTATAGATATGTAAGATACATGTGTATGTTTATATTTTAAAAATATATACATACATATGTACATCGTACATGTATACTCGTTAAAGAAATTTTATTAAATATTTTTTAGATAAAAATTGACCAATCAATGAACGTACGTACTGTTAATACTTGCGTACGTACATTTTTTATTTCTTTCTTTTAATCTTGTCAGCCATATTCATGTACGGTATCTTTTCATTAAAATTTGTGACATATGATATCTTAGAGTTTGATGAAATTCTATGAATTTTCATCGATATATCTTCGTTGAAATGAAATGAATATGTCAGATCGAATATGTGGATTGATTTATAAATAATTTGGAAATTATATATTATATATATTTAAATAAATGTTTTTTGTTTTTTTAGTGAAACGTTTCAACGTCAGTCAGCATAATACATTTATTATATTACACTTTATATTGATATATATATATATATATATATGTATATATATTTATATAAATAAAAAATATTACAATTTTAGACATTACTAATTTAATCAACCAAATAGACACACTTATATCATTACATAACCATACTATTTCATCATATTATAAATAAATAATATGTAATACAATGTATTTGAATTATGCGCCTTTTAATTATGATAAAATTTCATATTTAATATAATCCACATAGAATACTATATACATATATATATACATGTATATATATGTATGTATGTTAAATAAAAATGGTTTTAATAATAACACAAACAAAGTTTTTAGAATTAACAATGATATAAGGCATATATACGAGAGCCATTTAATATCATGAATATTAACCTCACTTTTTCAATGGATTCATTAATTTGGAACACATACACACACACGCACATATACATACATATATATATATATATATATATACATATATATATAGATTTGAATGATCATATGACAGACACAATGTATGCAAATAATATATATTCTTTTTTAGCAAGAACAAAACGAAACAGAAAAGGAAAACTCGAAATCGCTTATATTACTAGTCGAGTTTTCACTCGAGAAAGTAGAAGCGGTGCTGCAGTTAAATCTCGGAGCAAATTAGAAGAACGTAGACGAAAAAAAAAAACGAAGAAAAAAAGAAGAGAAAAGAGAAGAAAAGAGGAAAGAGAAAGAGAGAGAGAGAAACTACCATCTCTATCTGTCTCTCTCTCTCTCTCTCTCTCTCTTTCTCTTTCTTTCTCTTACACAGTACTTGCTATTGTTAATTGGCAGCGACTAGAACGAACGAGTAGAGAGCTTTTCTTTTCACTGGTAGAAACCAGTTGGTTGCTGCCCTTCCCCGCGTCTACTCCAAAACTCTACTACCATTCCCACGGCTACTCTCAACCCTTTCCTGTCCCTCATCGTCCTTTGTTTCCTGTCGTGGAACGTTCATGCTTTTGTCGTATCCGTTACTGCCAATTAACGGGAAACGACGGCTATCGAAGCGAGTATGAACAAAGTTCTCACTCTATCTATCTCTCTCTCTCTCTCTCTCTCTCTCCCTTTATCTCTCTTTCTATCTATCTATCTATCTTTCTCTTCATGGAATTCGATTCCTTCGACACCGAGCGACACGTAGTCCTATAAGGTCCTATTAGGTCCTTTGAATTTTCTGCCATAGTTTCTCTTTAAATGTCATTCCGTCGATTCTCTCTCTCTCTCTCTCTCTCTCTCTCTCTCTCTCTCTCTCTTTTTCTAGCGTTCACAGTCGAATTTACAACGTTTATTTTTGGTTAACATGTTTCTTTCTTGGCTGAACGATAATCGAAATACTTTCTGTGATATATATATATGTATGTATGTATGTACGTACGTAAGTATGTATGTATGTATGCATGTACGTAGATACTTTCAGTTCTGACCAATCGGAATGCTAGAAAAGTTCTCAAAAGAGAAAGAACTCAATTCAGCATACATACGTACGTATATACGTACTTACTTATTTACTCGTTTATACTACCTACTACTATGGCTACCGTAGTTCGTCGAAAGTATATTTATGACTTTTATGAAAACGACTGGTGAATATTTTTCTTTCAAAACGAACAAATTTCCTCGAGTATTTTCTTTCTCTTTTACGTATTTACGTTTATACATATATACATACGTACCTACGTACGTATTTACTTACTTACTTACTTACTTACGTCGTACTACGTAAACATATTTTTTGCTTTTGCTAAGTTTCGAGAGCATTATCGAGGTAATTTATGATATGAAGAAATTACATCGTTTTGTACGTAATAGGAACAGCAACGATCATGTATGTATATATGTGTGTATGAATGTAAGATAAATTCAGTTTTTCTTCTTCTCTTTGTTTTCTATCTATCTATTTATTTTTTTCATGTTTTTCGAAAACAAACATGCATAATTATGTTAATGAACAATTTTGAATTTAAGGTTAGGTTTGGAATACGAATTATATCATATTACGAACTTTCGTTATTGTAGTTCGTTAATTCGCAAAATTTACGTGTTCGTTTGATTACAAATCGTAAACAATAATTTTTTTTTCTTTTTTTTTTTTTTTTAATTTTCATTAATTTACGATTTCGATAGTCATATCGATTTAATAATAGATCGGTACGTTCCTTTATTTAACCTCTAACCTCTCGTCCTCCTCACTCCCGTTATTATTTATCATCCTTCCATTAGATAATCCACACGATCGATAAATTCAATTAATAATTATTACCCTTTTAATTACAAACACCATTTATATACTACGAAGATTATAAAAATCGTTTACATTTATAATCTCAAACGAGCTAGCTTTTTTTTAAAACCATAGACCGCGTTAATTTTCGTCATGGCCTCGTTAATTTCATTCTCATCGTATTATTCTTCCTTCATTACCAGCGCTACTGTTTTGGTCGCATTTAAGTAATTAAAGAAAATGACGCGATAAATAAACGGAACTCGTAGATAATCTCTTTATTTTCTTCAAAAAAAAAAAAAAAAAAAGAAGGGAAAGAAAAAAACATAACCTAAAAAAAATAAAGGGAAAAGAAACAAATCAAAATGGTTTGGAAAAGAAAAAAGAAAGAAAAATTATCGATCATTCGATCGATAATTCTCTCCCTCTCTCTCTCTCTATCTTTATCCTTCTTTCCTTTATCGAGAATTCATTCCAATAACTTTTTCAATTAGTTTGAATCCGAATAAATGCTACGTTGAAACCACAAAGTGCCATCAGGCACAAGTTGACTTTTTCATTGGGCATACTCTTTAAGGATTTCAATATATTATAGTAGTAGTCCTTGAACGAATCTTTACTTCGAAATAAGAAAAAGATGGATGGAAATCTTCTGAAGGAATCAATCTTCTTCTTCTTCTTTTCCTGTTTTTTTTTTTTTTTTTTTTTTTTTATAGAATTTATGCTAGAACTAATTGAATTTATTCTTACTATTACTCTTGTCGAGCTTGATTTAATTGAAAATGGCGGCTTTTTTATATTAACCCTTTGATCATTTATAATCTCAATACTATGTATTTATTTATTTTATCTCTATCAATTTATCTATTTTTATATACATATAAATAAATAAATAAATATATATATATATATGTAGATAAATAAATAAATAAATAAATATATATATATATATATGTATTGATCCGATAAGGAGCTAAAAGCTTTTCGTGATTCGATCTACAACAATTCTATTCAATCGGATTTGAATATTATATTTGAACGTATTCCTTATCGATTGGTTACATTAACGTAATTCTTACTAATGAATACAGATATATAATATATCCCTCTCTCTTTATATATATATATCTCGTTTTGAAATCGAAGAAGAGAGAGAGATGAGGTTAGATGAGATCGAAACCTGGAAAGTGACGTAAACATTGTTAACGTCAATCAACGTTTTGACCTCGATATAGCCTCTCACTTTTACTCTACTCACTCTCTCTCTCTCCTTCTCGGAAGCTTTTGAAACGATGAACGAACGATGAGTGAGAAAATGCATTCTCTCTTGGAAGGCTTCCTAGAAGTACACGTATCGAAAGGATAATACGATTCGAAATGTCGCGCCAATGCGACAGGTGCGGACGATAGGAAGTTTTCCCACAGAAAAAAAAGCAAAAAAAAAAAGACTTTTTTATGGAATTATTTCGTTCGGACAATGTTAAAGGAATGAATAATAAATAAAAATAAAAAAAAAAAGAAGTAATAATAATGCAGATAATTAAGAATATTATTTAATATATGCATATATGTATTTTTTTTTTTTTATAAGTAATTAATAACGTCCAAAAAATATGGATTACATAGTCATTCAAAGCACATTATTATTAATGGGTACATGATCATTAGGAAACAGTATCATGCATACTCTAATAAGATTACGCGGATGCATTTGCGTATATTGCAATCTCATCTATAGTAATCGAATGACGTTTATATGTGTACATTATGAGATTGGAATACGTAAGTGTATGTACAAGCGCATACATATATATATATATATATATATATATGTATTCCACATATATTGCATAAAATTATAAATGTTTGTTTTAATTAATATAACAAGAAAGCAATTATTAATAATTTTATAACAATAAAAAATTTCAGATATTGTCAATAACAACTGGATTTAATATTATTATAGACAATAGTAATTGAATAAGATATATATATATATATGTATATATATATATGTGTATATTGCTAAATCAATTGAGAATACTTATAAACATATATATTGTATAGAATATTACAATTGTTTCTTTTTAAAAAGTCTAAAGTATTAACATATTAAAGCGAGCTATTATTAATCTTATAAATAATAATAATAATAATAATAATAATAATAATAATAATACATTATAAAAGTTTTTTATAAAAATACAAGACATTAAATATTTGGAGAAAATATATTTGCCATATTATGGGGCAATAGTAATCAAATAACTACACATATTCACATATATAGTATAGAATTAAAATTGAAACAATTGTATCCTTTTAAAATGTCTAATAAAGAAGATATCAAAGAAGGCAATTATTAATCTTATATAAATAATAATAATAGTAATAATAATAATAATAATAATGACAATAATAATAATAATAATAATAATAATAATGACAATAATAATAATAATAATAATAATAATAATAATAATAATAATAATAATAATAATAATTATAATAATAATAATAATAATAAGAAGAAGAATAATAATAAGAATAAGAATATTTTACATAGATCAAAAAATAATAAACTCCTGAGAGATATTTTGATAAAAAAAAATGTTAGTCATATTATGGATAACTGCATTTATAAGGATGCAGTACGATTATTCCCGTTGGTATTAGGCAATTGGATGAGATTCATAACCATTACTGTACTACGTGAAGGCAGATGAGAGAGAGTTGGCTACAGGTGGTCCCGGGCAAATCAATACGGCTCGTGTGTCTCGGTGAATATACGAGCTCTCTCTCTCTCTCTCTCTCTCTCTCTTTCTCACACGTACAACCTCTCTTTCTCTCTCTCTCATACATACACCCTCTTTCAACTCTTCATGTCTCTCATATACAATAGTAATACTATGATTCCTACGTAGGATTCTGATATTGCACGATGCTTGTCGTTTTTCCTGTCAATTTTCAATGGGTAGTACAAATATATGTATGTATGCGCGCGTGCGTTTATGTATGTATATATATATATATCTCTCATTGAAAATACTTTTTTGTTTAATTTTTCTTTCCTACCTATCCATCTATCTATCTATCTATTTATCTATCTATTTATCTCTCTATCTATCTATCTCTCTATCTATCTATCTATCTATCTATCTCTCTCTCTCTCATATAATATTATTAATCTCTTAAAATAATAATATTAATGAATTATATTAATGAGAAAGAAGAGAGTAATTTTTCAACGCAGAACTTGTAAATTACAGAGAGAACACAAAACCTTTTTTGTTTCTTTTTTTTTCTACTGTTGTTTATAAATGGCACATATAAAAATCTTATGTGGGATAATATAGTTTGAAATTTTTCTCTTTGATTGTACATCGTTGTTTTTTAATATCTGTAGAAACGAAAATTATGACAGAAATATTGTCTCAATGATGATTTACTTTACAAAATTCATTTTCTTCTTCTTTTTTTTTTATCATTCTCATCGATTATCGTATTATTAAAAATTTGTCGATAATTATTATATCAAGTATATATATATATATATACTTGAATAAAACTTTTATGTATTTACAATTGTTGAATACATTTTCGTTTTGCAAACAATAGCGAACAATAATAAAGAGAGAAAGAAAAAAAATTATTAACAACAGTGTGTTATATTAATTAACAACATATAATTTTAAATAACTATTAACTTAGAATTATTTTTTGATTTTTCGTGATTTAGATATTAATAATAATATAAACGAGAATTACAATGAGAACGATATATATATATATATATATATATATATATATATATATATAAATATATATATATTGTTAAAGTCATTATATTGAACAATTATTCATTAATAGATTTTTAATGGCCAATCGATGTATCACACGTACTGTTGAATTCCTCCGGATCTATCATTTGTTCCGGATATCCTAATTTCAATACATCTTCTTGTACAACTTCATGAAGATGCGTATAACAAGATACTAATTTGTATTGACTAATACATTCCACAACCCAGTCACAAAAAACAGGTATGGCGGTGGTTTCAGCGTACCAATTTGCTATTAAAAGAAAAAAAATTAACGTCACATTAATTTACATCTTAATTTAATTTAGAGAGAGAGAGAGAGAAAGAGAGAGAGAGAGAGAGAGAGAAACAGAAAGATAAAGAGAGATTAAAGTTAAAGTTAAACAGTCTCAAATTACCAACAACTTCGTCCGTATGTACTTCGTTTTCTATTAATATAACTCTATGCTTCTCTTTGATAATGGCAAGTGCATCAATACTTTGAACAATCGTAGCACCCATTGCTTTCAATAAATCCTATATTGAAATAGAAAGGAAAGTTTTGATTATATTTAATCATTTCGAATTAGAAGAAAATTTTAGCATAAGTCGTATAACTTTTGTATATATATATATATACATATATATACCTGGAATTGAGTTACTGTTATATTCTGAAATGGTTCAATGCAAAGAAAAGTAAATCCATCGAACAAGTCGCTTTCTCTTAAACGTGATTTTCGAGGACCCGCCTCAAGTGTATAACAATCAACAGCTTCGTATGGTTCTTCATTCATCAATGTTCCTTCCTTCAAACAATCTGCTACCCATTTATAACCAACGACGAATTTTTTATATGCTATACCTTGTAAAAATTTTAATGTTTTGGTGGCTGCGTTGTTAGTATCGTTCGTACCAACAATAACGTGAGTTACGGTTGAATTAAAATTTTGCGTCCAATTAGCGCCAATCATGTATGCCAATTTTTTGATCGATTCGATTTGATTAATCGCCAGGCTACTCCAAACGAAACATAATTCTTTTTTATCGTCTCGTTGATTTTTAACATTTCTCGTCTCGTTCGTTCTACTAGTACCACTGTCATTGAAATTTGAATTTGACTTAAGTGACTTTTTATTCTCGTTTAGGAAATTGCTCGTTTCGCAATTACGATTAAGAGCCGTTTGGATTGTTTTAGGTGTACTTTGATAAAGCGGTCGGATCTTGTTTTGATCTATGGGAGTCTTCTTAACTTTAGCAGCCACCGAAGAGGATGGTGTTGTCGTCGTTGTGCTCATTGTTTTCGTCGCTGTTGTCGCCTTCGCAACTTGAAAGTTTTTCCTCGATCCTGGTGTTGTTGTTTGCGACATGGTCAAAGATTTTCTTGCCTTAAAGTTCGTGCTACGATCAACCTCCATACTGTGCAAGTTTACATGGAAAATAAAAAACAGATATTATTTTTCTCTTTTTTTTTTTTTTTTTTTTTTTTTGAATCTTCGAATAAATGGAATTAAATTTTGTTTACAGGTTGATAAATTGTAAAATTTTGATAATAAATCGGTACACCGTTTATTCCTTGCGAATGTTTTTTTTTTTTTTTTTTTTCAAATTCATTAAATAAAACAGAAAAATAAAACAGAATGATTAACGTATTGAAATATTTTTGAATGAAATAATAAAAGGAAACAAATAAAGAAATAAAATACTTACAATTTTTTATCAGATTGTGGTGTATTTTCAATTATCTCATCGTCGCTAGAAATATCTTCGGCATTCTGTAAGAGAGCAAAAAAAGAAAAAGAAAAAAAAAAAAAAAAAAAAAAAAATATAAGAAAAAAAGGAAAGAAAAAGTATTGGAAATAGCAAACAAGCAAATCTACCTTGTTACGAAGATTTGTTCTTTCCTTTTCGTGATTTTTCTTGGATTTCAATGGCGTTTGCAACGAGCTCTCTAATCTGTTTTCCGAGGACAACGTTTTTATATTTTCCTTCGACTTTCCTAAACTCTGCAAATTGTCTGTACCAAAGAGATCTTCTTCGAGAGCATTGAGTAAAAGTTGATGCTGTGTTACGTCCAATAGAGAATCGTAATCGCACGAAGTAGTATCCTTTTGTTCTCCTATAATTTGACCTTTGCCTTTATCATTCTCGTATTTATCTTTTCCAGATATCAATGTTGCCCTTTTATTCTCAGCTTTTTCTTTACTCGTTATAATATCTTTTTTAATCGAATAATCTCTTTTATTATTTATAATGTATCTAGCGGTTTCATTCTCCTTGTTAGAACTATTGAAATTTTCGATCAATGTATCATCATCATCATCATCATCATCATCATCATCATCATCATTATTATTATTATTATTATCATCATCATCCTCCTTCTCTTTCAAATTTTCTTCCATTTTACTGTCATTTGAATCGGCCAAGAAATCATTGGTCTCTATGCAAGATGATGTCGTTAATGGTATAGAATATTTTTTATCTTCATTTAATAACTCCTTGGTATCGTCAATGACATTTTCATCGGTAAAGAAATTCATAGTTAAACTATTCGTTATGATCTCAATCTCGTTCGAATGGTCATCAATCTTTTCCATCAATCGACCTTCCTTAGTTGTAATCTCATTTTCATTCATTCTAATTGATTTCACTTTATCTATAATATCATTGTTCAATTTTTCAGGTTCTTCCTTTTCAGGAATTGTTTTAACAGGTGTACCAAAGTTATTCCATGAATCGAAAACAATACTTTGAGGAATCATTGTCATTGGTTTATTCGATATTACTTTGGTATTCTTTAATTTTTCTAAATTATCTTTACCGATGGATCTCTGTGACGTATTCAAATCATTACACCAATCATTTACGATTTTGTTAACGAAATTATCGTCATCCGAGTCTTCTGATGTTATACGTTTTTTTTTAGAGATTTCAACTTTCTTGTCGTCTATATTACCTTCGATATTTATCTTTCTCTTTCTTGCTAAACTATTATCAGAGTCTGAACCCGTATTGGCCATCAATTCTATTCTCTTGTAATTGCCTTTTGATTCGTTCAATGTATTACTCATCATTACTTCTTTATTATCCATATTATTATCTGACTCCAAACTGAGTACATCTTTATTATGATCTTCTACATTTATTCTTCTCCTTTTTCTAAGACTATTATCAGTATCTGAACTCGAATTGATCAACGCTATCCTCTTGTATTCATTTTTGGATTTTTTATTATCCATATTATTACTAGATTCTGAAGTTAATGATATAATCGTTGCATCCTCGTGATTTTTTCTAATTTTATTGAGACTTTCGTTAAATCTTACGATTTGAGTTACATTATCAATCGATTCACTATAATTCGAATCATTATCATTGCTCGACCTTTCACTTTTTATTTTCTTAACATTATGAACAATTAATTTTCTTTTATCCATTTCTTTATTAATTTTTATCGAAGTATCATCCTTCCTTTCGGATTTCGTTCCAGATTCCGAAGGTGTTGATTCACGACAAATCCTTAATTTTACGGGTAATATTGTATCCGTCATTGATTCCAAATTGAGAAACTTTAATTGCGAATCATTTTCCGGTGACATCATTCTAACGATGCTCGTTATCACAGGCTTCGAACGGATACCATTTTTATCAATGGTCCTTAAAGGGACTTCATTCGCACTCTTAGATATATTTAGTATATTTTTCTTCGTAGATTCGTCAACGTTGAATTTGACGTATCGTTCGTTGCAATCTACTACATTGACAGTTTTATCTTCAGATATTGGTTCTTTCAATGAAACCAAAAGAACACCTAAAGAATCTTGAGTAGAATTTTTCGAGGAACATTTTATATTTCTTTCTTCGATCAATTCTATCGGATAATTTTTAACATCCTTCTCAACGATTAAACTGATCGAGGATCCTCTATTATCTAAATTGCACGCTTCATCCAACGTCTTATCAATTACCAATGAATCCTCCGATCCTTGTAAAGTTATCAAGTTAATATTCGAATTATTTAAGAATGAACCTGATAACGTATTAATAATAGATTCTTTTCTAATAGGTCCGAGCTTATAAAATTTCACCTTTCTTCTATTTTTAAATACCTTGCCCAATTTATTGAACGGTACGATACGTGTTTTCTTATCGTTCGTCACGAGAGAATTCGTGATTAATTCATTAGGATCATTGTTCTCTTCCGTAATGTTTCTTCTTCGTTCATCGTTATCATATCTTGGATTAACGTTGTCAATGATATCGTTAACGGTAACACGTTTAAACGTATCTTTGGATAATTTATTATTACGGTTCATTTGTTCCATCAAATTACACTTGACATTTGAGAATTTTGATATTCCAGGTGATATTGCAATATCGTTAGATTTATTGGCGCACATTTGATTTTTCTTCAATGACAGCTTCGACATAGATTCGTTCAATCTTGGATTTTCATTGACTTTGATCGGTGTACGTACGTTCCTTGGGGATAATAAAATTTGACTCTTACATAATATATCATAACGTTCCTCGAGATTAATCTTGACAGGTGTAACTTTACGTGGCGATTGTTCGACGTTAGAAAAATTTACGATCGTTGAATTCTTAGAATCGTCACGTTTCTTCAATGACAATTTCTTTTTCGAAATCGTTTCTTGATCCTCTTGATCCTTTTGATACGATTGATACTGATCAATTTCATGAACGTACGTAATTTTATCGGAGTCACTCGTTGTAACACCGATGATGTCATTCATTTGTTCACGACGCAAACTCATTATCGGAACTCTTCCTTCCTTTTCCAACGAGATAAACGACGTATTTTGTGATACTTTTTGTTCGTCTTTCTCTTCCATTTGATCGTTCGAAAAAGATATATCGTGTAAGTTCGAACACGAGGGAAATATTCGATTATCGTCATCTCGACGTTCAATTAAATTTATTGATTCGTCATTTTTATCACGTGACGACGTTACAAATCCTAAAATTCCCCTGGACGATTTACGTCGTTGTTCCTTCCTCGTCATTTTTTTCCCAAGGAATTCATCGGACGTTCTAGTCACGAAACCGCTCGTACTTTGTACACTGACGTCCAATGATTTTAATTTCTTCTTTTTCGTACGCATTTCTTTGCCAAATTTAACGACCCTATTCCAAGTTTCCTTAGTCGTATTAACAGATCCTAATTGTTTATTCGAATCTATTGAATCGATATTAAAATCGGTTAAAGAATTTTCTCCATGGGAATTTTTTTTCATTGATTTTTCTACATTCGAACGTTCCTTTATTCTCGCGTGAATCATTTCGTATTTCAATTTAATTCCCGTAGAATCGTCCTTGATTTTTTGCTCGGGAAACGATGACCGTGTTGTTGCTTTCCTTTTGTATCCTTTACCCCTTGCATTATTCGTGACTCGAGATTTCATCGAATTGAATGATTCTCGTTTTACATTATCTTCATGTTTCTTCGTCATCGAATGTTCCGATTCGTAAGACAATTTTTCCACTTTGATATTACTACTGGACGACATCAAGGATATACCAGATACTACGGTAGCAGTGTCATCTAAACAATTGTTTCTCATATTGTTAGGACTTAACGTTGGCTTTTCAAATTGTTCAGCGTTGGGTAAATTTTTCAACCAATTTTTTATTCTCTTCTCTTTCATAAAACTTGTCTCATCTTTAGAACTTAGATTTCGTTGGGGCGAAGAGAGAAGTGGATAAACTCCGGATAATCCATCGGTCGATGAACTTCTACTTTCTTTTCTTTCATCTGCGTAATCATTTTTCTTATTTGTATTATTCTTATTATATTTTTTACACGTTTCATTTATTTTATTTGAGATATCTTGACGCGAGGTACATCCTTCTTCTTCTTCTTCTTCTTCTTCTTCTTCTTCTTCTTTTTTATGAACAATATTCTTTTTCTTAAAGAACGACGAAATCTTTTCATTATTTTTTCTTCCTTCAATCGTTTTCGTTGAGCTCGATGCATTGTAACATTTAGAACTTGGCGTGGCGTAACCTTCCCTCGTGTTACGCGGATTTTTTTTATAAGAGAGTACTGTAACACACGTTTATTCTTATTTTAGTTTTATAGAAACAAAAAAAAGACACACAAAAAAAAGAAGAAGAAAAAAGAAAAGTAAATAAACATAGACCAAAATAATCTTATCTTAATTCGATGATCAGATTTACATATATATATATACATATATATATATATATTTTTTTTTTAATAGAATTGAAAAGAAAATTCATTTATATTTAATTAAAATAATGATAGAATTATAAATCCTATAATAATGTTTCATTCGTGTCAATTATGATTCATCATTAATTTTTGAAAATAATAATAATCTATGTTCATTTGTCATAGACTTGTAATATATATATATATATATATTATAGATTATATACATATATATATATATAAAATATTCTTGATTTCTTACTTACTGTCTATATTTACATCTTCATGTATAGCATGTACAAGTTTTTCGAAACAATTAATACACTTTTCTGTATGCTTGTCCTTTGAAATACTTCGTCTTTGAAGACCCGTGTTACATAGAGGACATTTAGTATTTTTCTGATTTAATACAGTTCCTATACATGTGCGACAAAAAGAATGTCCACATCTTGTCTTTACAGGTGAAGAAATCATATCCAAACTATAAGAAAATCAATAATTATATATCAAGTTATAAATGATTTATTTTTCTAAAAATAGAAGAAATATAAATGGCATTTAATTTAATATTACAAAGAATATGCTTTAATGTATCTATAAAGATATATAAAGATCAGTTCTTTGCATATACATTTTAAAATGCATAAAAACTATCGTAGAATTATATATATATATAATTATCAATCCATTACAATATAATACACATAATAGCAAAAGAGCGTTATCTTATCACAATGTCTTTTTTAACCTCTGATCTAAGTGACCAGGAAAAATGAGAAAAAAAATAAAAAAAAAAAAAAAGGAAGAAAGAAAAAAAGAAAGAAAAGATAAAAATCCAATAAATGAAACATCAAAATTACGTTCATGACGATCGATAATCGTGAAAATTTTATCGACAGTCATTCTCGTTCCAATCAATTTATTTTATTTGTTTTCTATTTCTATGACAGAAATGTGCTTACCAAATTCTGCATTGTAGACAATTATGAATAGACTTGACTGCGTCGTATAAAATGTCAATGGACGCAATTTGATCCTCCGTCATTTTCTCGATTATTAAAATGTAATAGGAAGTAACAAAAAAAAAAAAGTATCTCACTATCCAAACATCGTTACATATTTGATTTCAGAAACTCGTAACACAACCTATACACCTCCATTTCATCCTTCTTCGTCAAGGAGTAGTTTTGGGTCCCTTACATTATATGACAATATGGAGTTTCTAAATTTCACCGCAACATGTTTGTAGCGCTGCGAATACAAGCTTAGTATTATTTGAGAAATTCGCGGGGAATAATTTAAAAAAAAAACATATATATATGTATATATACATATTTAATTTTCCCGACAAATAAATAAATTCATTTGTTTATCCATTCGTTATTAACTCTAATGTAAACTTTTGATACATCGTTGATTTGTTGTATCGTTGTAATAAAAAAAATAAAAAAATAATTAAGGAAAGAAAAAAAAGAAAAAAAAAAAAAAGAAAAAAAGAAACAAAAAGGAAAGAAAATATTATTTTCGCGAATATTTAAAACAAATCCAACGAACTATTCGAGATGAATCATCATCGATCTAATATCGATCGTTCGATATTTGGCGGGGCCTTTCCATCATCGAGATTTGGCGGGCTCTACTGCGCATGTCAGTCCGCCATCTTGTGACGTAGTACGCCGTACACGAGAAGGTAGGGGTTACGCAATAAACCGGTCCACGAGTCGCGTCAGTCTTTGTTAATATGTCGAGCTGTGATGTAGTGTCGGTGACGTCTCGTGCTCGTGATCATTATTATTACTGTTAATATATAAAAATAAAATAGATCGTTTCGCGTTTTATGTATCACTTTATTTCTCTCTATCTCTTTTGTATTTTATTAAAGGAAAAATACATAGGACGGAAGAATAAAATCTTGTCTTTTTTTTTTTTTTATTGGTATCCCAACTACGAAATATGGCGTCCTTTTATTTCAAGAACGAGTGCATAGACCAGGTATTCGTTTAATTAATTTCCTTTTCTTTTCTTCCTATCTTTCTTTTCCTTTTCTTTTATTTTATATATATATATACACTACTACCTCTCTTTACAAACTTAGAGCAGAAACGGGGCGCGAAAAAGTTCCTTTCGAGAACGTAACGCGTTAGCGATGCTTTTCATAGGTGCAGGCAGGGTTTAGAAATTTTACAATAGACAATGGGTATACCGTCGTCACAAAGCCCACGGCGGCCATGAATATAATCTTGCCGTTGACTACGATTCGAACTGACGTGCTTCATATTTAAACCCATTTACAAGTTGCCGGAAACGTGACGACCATGTATATGTGTGTCTCACTGTGTGCGTCGCTATGTGCATATGTGTATTTGTGTATTGTTATATGTGTACACACCACACCGCATCTCAGAAGCGAATCAAGACCCTGACTACATATTAAAACGAGGGTTTAGTGGCTCTAACAATTCTCTGAGCTCTCTGGAGGCAACTATATCTAGATCGATTTATTATTCCTATCAACGATTCTATGTATATTATAGCTTATCATTCGATACCGTTCTATGAGAGAGAGATAGAGAGAGAGAGAGTATACATATTTGTGTACAACTATATTTACGTATTCGTCGTATATATATATATATGTATATATGTTTGTATGTATGCATGCATGTATGCATATAAAACTATTATATACGTTATAAATTATATTTCGATATAATTCGACAAAAATATTATTTCACACGTATTTACGTATATATATATATATATATATATATATATATATATACAAGAATGTTTTTTCTTTGTATATTATAGGTTATGTCTCGATCTAGTTAAACAAGAAAATTATTTTAAACGTATTTGAATTTACAATATTTACATATTCGTTGTAAACGAAGAAATATTTTTTTTATACGTATGTTACAGGTTATATTTTAAAAGTATTTACGCATACTTTTATATATATATATATATATATATATATATATATATATATATATAAAAGAGAGAAACTTGTTTTGTACGTGTTCGTTTGTTCACGAAACATTTTAAAGGAATAGAAATTCGTTTCTATCGACGTAATAATGTTTGTATATATACAATACATTGTACAAATATATATAACAATGTACCTCCTACACGTAATATACTATTTACGTACGTAATACGAGAGAGGATTACTAGAGTTACTTGTTTGCCAATACGGGTACGATAATATATATATATATATATATATATACATGCATACACATTGAGTCTTTTAGGAGGAATGTATTAGTTCAGCTCGTTAATAAATTTTGAATGGATTTTTTTAAATTTATAATTAAATATATTATATATATATATATATATATATATATATATATATACGAATTGAAAATGATAAAGTGAAATATTTTATCAGTGTTGCAGTTTCATCTTGGATAAACTATTCCTCGAAAAGGTGAAGATTTTTAACGAAAGATGAAAAAGATTAACGACGATGTCGTACTGTGAAATGATTTTTATCGGAATGACCTGTTGATGACGTTATGGGGTGGTTCGTCCTCGCTTGTATTTTAATACTTTTCATATGCGGTAAGTTATCATTATTATTTTCATTATTATTATTATTATTATTATTATTATTATTGTTTCTTTATTCGAATAATAAATGAATATAATAAATGATGTATCAAATAATGATATATAATCTGTATCGTATCCATTTGCGAAAGTCCGTAGAAAATTAATTGATCAACTGTTCTTTGCTTTTACGTGAGTAGAAATAAGTAGTTAAGAGAGAAAGATAAGTAGAAGATAGAAGAAGAGAGGAAGACAGAGAGAGAGTGAGAGAGAGAGAGAGAGAGAGAGAGAGAGAGAGACAGTAAAAAAAGAAAGAGAAAATATATCAAAGAAGTAAAAGAAGAAGAATTAGTAGTGGCTATTACGTAGTCCTTTTACACGATCCTGTATGAGGAACACGCATATTAAATTTAATAATGCTTCCTATATAACATTATATATGTATATAACTTTAGAATATAGAATCTTCCTCCCTCTCCCTCTCTCTCTCCCTATCTCTCCCTCTCCCTATCTCTCCCTCTCCCTATCTCTCCCTCTCTTTCTTTTTCATAGCCTTTTCCTTAAGCACCTTTCCTATTATGTTCCGTTCTGCTTCATACGTTACGTTCTATGCACATAACATGCTTTATTCCTATACCATGTGTGTATGATATGTGTATGTGTGTGTGTGTGTGTGAAAGCTTATATTATAGTGATTTATGTGAACGATAATTTACATGGTCCCCTTTTTTCTCTCCTTAATAGAAAATCGAACCACACCACTCTGTCTCTATTATTTTTTTTTCCTCGTCTGCTTGTTCCCTTGTGTTAGATGATTTTAGTAGGACCGAAAAGAAAATCAATTAAATTTCAAATAATTTCAATAGTGATTGTATATCAAGGATAATGCGAATATAAGGATTGAAATTATATATCGTACAAATATGAAACATGTGCACGGAACGGATTAAACCATAGACAAATATTTGGCATTTATAGTCAGCACTGTGTATTTCTTGAATAACTTTTTTTTTTTTTCATGCAGATATTTACATAAGTATACACACATACATACACATACACACATATAGAGGTATATAAATAATTCGGTAAATATAGGTATGTAAATAATTCGTTCGTTCGTTTATGGTTTCAATGAGATATATTTGTATTTATATGTATATATATTATATGTATATTTGTTCGTTTATGGTTTCAATGAGATATATTTGTATTTATATGTATATATATATATATATATCATGAATTTATTCGATTAATTAGCAATCTTAATCGTATATAATCCTCGTGTATAATGTTTGCGGTAATTATAATAATATTGTTATTGTGGTGAACATTATTTGTATTCGATATGAGGGTAAAATAATCGATCGATTACAGTGGGTCTTTTTTTTTTTTTCGAAAATGTTAATGAAGAAATTCGTGTTCCGTGCACTGTTGTTTTGTATACAGTGAGAGAAATTTTATAGAAATTTATTCGTAAATACATTGTTTAATGGTAAAACGGAGAGAAAAAGAGAGAGAGAGAGAGATGGGGGGGGGAGAGAATTATTTAATGAATTATTCAAGTGATTTGAATATTTTGGTCGTTTAATCAAAATTGTAGGAATACGAAGATTTTTTTTTTTTTTCTCGTTAATTTTATTTCATATTATTTTTATTTATATAGATTTATTATATAGATTTATTATTTAAAGAATATGGATTTATTTAATTATGATAGGAATACGATTTAAAAAATTCAATATTTAATCATTTAAATGATATCTTTTGTATTATGACATATAAAAATTTTTAACAAATCAATTAATATTTGAAAATATATTAGATATATAATAATAGACGTTTCAAATTGTTTAATATTATAATAAGCATTAATAATTTTCTATCATAGTAGTAAGTTTGATATACGTAAAATATTTATTTATTAACTCTCAATTAGAATATATTAACTAACGAAATTAATTATAACTTCAATTTTCGATAACTATTTTAATATTCGAAACTGATAAAAATGTCGATTATTCGATCGTATAAATTACGAATTCATGAAAATTGAATAATTATTTTCAAAAATTACATATTACTCATATCTCCCTTAATCAATAATCAATTCGATCGAAAGATAATTTCTATGAATTTCACTCACTGTACAAAAAGAAAAGAAAAGAAAAAAATAAACAAATGAAAAATAAAAAAAAAAAAAAAATAAAAATGAATCACAAATTAAAGAAGTTAATAAAAATAAAATATTATTTTATTTCTGCTGCTGCTGCTGTTGCTGTTGCTGCTATCGTTGCTGCTGTTGCTGATGATGCTACACTATATGGTACCGGTCTGATGTTACTGCTGATACTGGTCTGATGATGTTATGATGATAATTATCATCATCATCATAATCATCACAATCATTACAACGATCATGATCATGATTATGATCATGATGATTTATGGTCATCATCGCGTCGTCACGTGTGAATAGCGACGGGATTGCCGTTGCCACAGGGTGGTGGTGGGTTGGGTGCACATGGACAGCCGCAGGCCGGTTTGTCGAGCACCCCAGGTCCCGGCGTAATCGGTATTGGTGGTGGTGCTGGTGGTGGGCTTGGAATGGGCACGGTCGCCGGTGGTGCCGTCGTAGGGGTCAGTGGCATAGGTGGAGGAGCAGGTGGTGGTGCAGTTAGGGGTAGTAGTAGTAGTGGTTCAGTTGGTAGTGGTTCAACATTTGGAAGTTCAAGCTCCTCAGGATCTGCTATCGTCGTTGGAAGCGGTGTTGGTACTGGTATAGGAAGTGGTGTTACCGGTGGAAGCATCGGCGGTGGTGCCGGTGGTGGTGCAGCTGGTGGTGGAAGCGGGGGTTGGTCCACTGGACCGTCGCGTCGGGGCCAGGGGTGGCGCGTCTGGCGCCGCAACGACCCAACCCTTATGAATCTATGGAAATCTCAGGGTCCTTTAGGTAAATCTTTATATACGGTCTTATAGATTAGATTTTTATTTATTATTTATTATCGATTATAGCGACAAATTTATTCTTTTTATATATATAGATTTTATTATTATTATTATTATTATATTATTTCTTATATATTATATTTATATAATATAGTAATATAAAATGGAATCTATTATATTAATTATATATGTTATATAATTTTATATTATATATATATATATATAAATTTATTATAAATTAATAATATATCATTAAGTTTGATTATAGGGTTTGTTATTTTATTTATTTATTTATTTATTTATTCTAATTATTTTTTGTAGGTTCATTGAAAAATTGTCCAATTAGAATAAATCATATTTGAATTAAAAATTTATTTCTACGTTATTGATTATATATTTTTTTTTCTTTTTCTTCCACTTTATTATTTATTTCACAATTAATGCAATAACCGATTTGATATTTGGTCAGACTAATGCTTGTTATTTAAAGATATAATAGAAAATTTATCAATTACTGAAAGTAGGAACTTTCTTATATTAATTCTCTCTCTCTCTCTCTCTCTCCTCTCTCTCTCTCTCTCTCTCTCTCTCTCTCTATATATATATATATATATATATATATATATATATATATATATATATATGATTATTATATAAATAATAGAAAATTTTTAAACTCACGTATATAACGTACGCATTCATTTTATTTTCCAATCTCTTATAAAATATAATTATATAAAATATAAAATATATTTATATTAAATAATTATACAAAAGTATAATGCGAAACAATATAAAATATTTCGTGATTTTTACACACTCAAAGGAAAAGTTAAATTGTAACATGTCCTTTGAGATTAATTTTTAAACGAACGAAAAAAGAAAAAGCAAAAGAATAAAAGTTAAAAGAAAGAGAGAAAGAGAAAGAGAAGAAAACCAATTAACATTATTAACCAAACGTTTCAAGGCAATTTAACTTAAGAGAGAAGAAGATCAAATGAATAGGATTTAAAAATGTATTTATCCACCTTCTTCGTTGTTAACAACGTTCGTAATAATACGGAATACGTCTAATACCGAAGCTCGTTTGCTCAGTTTTCTTCGGGTTGGTTGATTCGAAGCAGTTTACGACTAAAAGGGACGAGTACGATAACTGTTCTGAAAGATTCATGAAAGTGTAAACAAGACGGGGTGTAGTTTTAGCAGAGATAGAGGCCAGCTCCTCTTTCATTTGACTTCCAAATAGTAACGAAAAAATTTTTCGATAAGAATTTTAATGTGCAATCCTTAAAAGAATTTCATTCCAATTTCTACATTCAATAATCTTCGTATCATAAAGTGGATTAATCTTTTCTTCGATTTCGTAATATTTCTTGCAAATGACATTTACATATTTCCATATTCTTTTATATTTTTTTTTCTCCTCCTTTTCTTTCTAAACTAACTTTCTAACTTTCTAAAGTTAGATAATGTCAAGGTTATAATATTATTTTCATACTTATACTATATGTATAATTATACTATATGTGTATATGTGTATATATATATATATATATATATATATATACATAATTTAATTATAAAATAATTTATTATAGTATGATATTAAAGTTATATACACAGCATAGTAAATTTGTAATATATAATATATACATATAATATAAAATAGTATATATGATTTAATTATTATCAGCATTATTATTATTATTATTATTATTATTATTATTATTATTATTATTATTATTATTATAATTATTATTCTGTTATAATACAAAGATTAAAAGTGTACGACTGAATAATTGAACGGTACTATAGAGGATTAAACTAAATACTAACGTTTAAATTCTTCTTGTTCAGAAACAGATAGAGTCGTTTATACTATCCAACATTGTCGAAACATGTCACACACAGTAATACGATTTAACGAGCCATGATGTGATCCGTGAAAGTACTTCGTTCAATCTTTATTACTATCGTTCTCGTTCTAGTTAATGTTTTTGTGAGTCATATAACAACGTATAGACGTATATACCACAAGAGGTGGGGGGGAAGACAGAACGATAAATTAAATTTTTTTTTTCTCTTTTTTTTCTTTCTTTCTTTCTTTTTTTTTTTTTTTTTCTTTTTTTTCCTAAAGTGATTGAATCTTCTACTTCTTCTATTTAATTTTCGTATAAATCGTAAATTCTACTTATCAGATTTGTAAATCTTTTATTAAAAACGGGAGAAAAGTTTTTCCTCTTGGTACTTACGAAAACATGTTGGATGATTATAGAAGTCAAGGAAAATATTGTGTCTATAAATATATATGTATATATATATATATATATTTACTAACTCGGAAAAAAATTAGTACTCAGACTGCGAAAAGAAGGTACATATATAGTTATTTTTCTTTCTTCTTTTACTCGAGTACTATGTTTACTTTTTTCAGAGAAAATATTAATTGGGAAAAAAATGGGACGCCGTGTACTTTTCATTTGGCTACTGAAACTTTGTATATAGTACGATTAAAATTATTTAGAATTTTTAATATCCTTTGTTCGTACATTATTACTATTAAAAAAAAAAAAAAAAAAAAAAAAAAAAAAAAAAAAAAAAAAAAAAAAAAAAAAAAAAAATCATCGTTTTCGTGAAGATAAATATTTCATTTTATTTATTTATATATTTCATTTTATTTAATCTTCACGTTGATATAATTTATTGTATTTCATATATAATTTATGATTTTTTTTTTTTTTTTTTTTTTATATAGACACGAAAGAAAATTAGATTATCATTGACAAATAATTATTACGTTTTGCTAATTATTAATGAAATTATCATAGAAAGAAAATTACTTCATTAATATATGATCCAATTGATGAAGTTATTTTTACACTACATATATAATTCTTTTTATAAAAATAAAATATATTTATTAAAAGGAAATATATATGTATATATTTAAAAAAAAAAAAATGGATATTATTAATTCACATCCGAGGATTGATATTTCACGTTAAAAAAAAAAAAAAAAAAAAAGAAAAAAAAAACAAAAATCGATATATTTAGATAAGATGAAAAACACGAATGATATCTGTTTACTCTTTCATTATCTTTCATTTTGTAAGATAAAAATATGAAAGGGGGAGAAGGTGGCGGTAGTACCGGGTTATATGGCTGAAAGAAAAAAATACGATAAAATAAAATAAAATAAAATGAAATAACGAAGGTAGGATGAAATTAAAATTAAAAAATCTAAAGAAATATAAATCACGGATATAATTAGAGTAAAAACAAAAAGAGAGAGAGAGAGAGAACGAGAGAGAGTATTAAAGAATAAAAATGAATTTAATATAAGATCATATATGATCGGGGTTGTTAAACAGGCTCTTTAGGAAACGCCAAGGGTTACATCATCCTCGCACTTTTGATTGGCGTTATCTCAATGGTGATCGGTTGCTGGTTATCCGATAACTGTTGGTCACCTGAACCAGAAGGGGTGGTCACCCTCGCATAGCCTAGTGCCGATTTTCGTTCGTCTAGGCGATAACAACTACTACGACGCCTACCATCCTATACGATTCTCAACGAATCGAACGGTCAGCGTCCTTCGCAACGACATCAACAACAACAACAACAACAATTACAACAACTACAACTACAACAATTGTTACAACAATTACAACAACAACAACAACAACAACTATTTCAACCTCAGCAAGCGGAAGAGCAACGTCGACAAATTGAACGATTATTTCAGCATCAAAGACGACCCTTGCTCGATATTAACGACAACGACACGCTTTTACGCGTATGATCGTCATAGATCATAGATCATAGATCATAGATCATAGATCATAGATCATTGTCAAAAGTCATTTTTATTAAACTTCTCTTTTTCTCTTTCTTTTTCTCTTTCTCTCTCTCTCTCTCTCTCTCTCTCTCTCTTTCTCATATCTGTCTCTGTTTCTGATACTCTCTCTCTCTCTGTCTCTCTCTTTCTCTTTCATTCTTTTACGAGAACGAAAGAAAGAAAGGAAGAAAAAAAGAAAGAAAGAAATAAATAAACGAACAAATGAACCGGCTGCCGATTAACGAAAAAAAAAAAAAAACATAAATAAACAAACTACGATCCTCGCTTCGCGTTCCTAAATGCATCGACGATCTCCGCCCATTTCGAATGGAGAAGTATCAATGTTTAAATACAAAAATACTTCAATTCATTGATCACGATCGAATCTCATAATTATATGTATATTTTAGTTAGGATCGCGAAGGATAGGACTATATATATATGTATGTATGCATATATATATATAGTTATGATCCTAATCTTTCATTCAGGAAAGATTTATAGGATTGTTTAGCGATCGATTTTCATCATAACTAAATATAATATGGCTGTTGATTAATTACAGTTATTAATAATTAAAGAAAAAAAAAAAGAAGAGGATAATTAATATAGGCCATCGCTCGACTCTAATTAAGATTATTATTATTATTATTATTATTATTATTAATTATTATTATAATTCGTAACAGTATATATATATATATATATATATATATATATGTGGGTATAGTATTATAGATATGTATATAGGTATTATATAGATAAATGCTTAGGTACTTACGACTACAAATATTTATCGCGTTTAGATTACGTATAAGACGCCTTTTTCGAGCGTTTGCCAAAAATAAGCAGCGATATAAATCAAGATCGCTGATTTAGGGGGAGGGGCCAAATATATTTGATCGAGCTTGTATAAAAACCTAATCTTCTGTCGATAGAAAATCAAAGAGAGGCCTTTTTGTTAAGGTTTTTACTTTAGCGTTCAACGAAATTAATTTTTCTTTTTCCTTTTTTTTTTATCCTTTCTTTTTTTTTTCTTCTGAAGCCAGTCAATACAACGAAATTTTCTATTCTCTCTCTCTCTCTCTCTCTCTCTCTCTCTCTCTCTCTCTCTCTCTCTCTCTCTCTCTCTCTCTCTCTTCTCTCTTTCTCTCTCTCTCTCTCTCTCTCTCTCATATATAAGTGTAAAAATATTAAATCAATTCATGAATAAGTTCTATTCATTGTTACAATAGTAATATATATATATATATACATATATATTAGATTATATTATAAACTATATTTTATATATATTATATATAATATATATTAAATATATTAATTATAATACAAATTATATTAAATATAATTTAAATTTAATTTATTTATCTACCTAATTGAAGATAATTAAATGAAATATTTTGATTTAAAAAAAGAAAAAGAAAAAAAAGAACGCGTTCTAAAATCAATCTGCAAAATTAACAATTTTGATTTTTTACGTGTAACACTTCTTCGTTCGTATATTAATCGAATGACCGCAATGAGCGCGCGAGTCACAGTGGCTAATGGGGTTTATCATAACGTACAGTGTGTGAGTATTGTAATTGGTGAAATGCAGTTTGATTCGTGCAGGCTAAAAGCCACAGACAATTCCATCGGTTTATTACGTTCGAACGAGCTGACCGTTGTTGTTCTAACGAAGCTTTAATCATTGGGTTTGCTTAAAGTAGTGCTTTTCCTTTACGTAGGTAACTAGTTACTTGGATACTCCAATCGATAATGTTATCAGCTGTTCAAAATTGAATTGCAGAATATACGGTTCATCAGACTTTAGTTAGTTAAATCGGTTATTACCTGTAGGTAACCGATTAATGGATTGCTGTTAAATACTTCAATATACGGAATTATTATTATTGCTATTATTATTAATTTTTTTTTTTTTTTTTTTAGATATATATTCATCGATTATAATCTGATCGATTTAAATTATATATATATCAAGAAATATATCATTTTCATCGAAATTTGGTGATAAAGTCAAATTGAATTAGGATTAGTATCGGATTAATGGATTGTCCAAAATATTTGAATATTTTTGGAGTTATTATTATTATTTTTTTTTTTTAAAGAACAATTTATTAGTAATATCTAATTGATTTAAATCGAAATGGTATATAATTTTATCAAATTTGAGATAGTTGAATCGGACAAATTTAGGTATCTTATTAATAGATTTCTAAAAGAAAAAAAAAAAAAAAAAAAAAAAAAAAAAAACAAAAAGAGAGAATTCAGAATTATTTTTAAATTCATCATTATTTTTTTTTTTTTTTTTTTTTTTTTGGAATCATTAATAATTATATCGAAAATAATTCATCTTTTTTAAATCTATAATCGTAACTAAAAGTAACTGCGAAATATTTCTTTTCATTCAACGTTGAAATAATCAAATTGAAATAGGCTAAGCTATCTGATAATTGGGTTAGCATGAATACTAATTGGAACATCTCGAATTAATTATTTTACAAACAATTTATGAATTATATCCCATCGATTAAAGTGGACAAATATTTATCAAAGTTAATTCGTTTCGGTTAGCAATTATGTTGAAAGCAATTAATCGATGAAAAAATATAAAAAGTAATGTGTTTGACCGTCCATTAAATTATGTTAGGATCGCATAATCAACGATGATTATTTAATTAAAATCTAAATTGACAAATTTCGTTGTATATAAATTGAAAGAAAGAAAGAAAGAAAAAGGAAAAAAACAAAAAAACAAATATTTCTCTACTCGAATATTATCTTATACAATTGATTCGCACGTCGACGCATTACTGAACATTTAATCATACTTACGATTATTATAGTATTGTTAATCGACGTTAAATCTATGAGTTTTTTTTCTTTTTTTTGTTTTTTTTTTTTTACGAGTTTCAACGATGCAAAACAAGAAAACGATAATCGTTTTACGTTTCATCGTCGATAATAATAGAGATCGCAGGGAGAGAGATAAGAAAGCAAAAGAGAGAAAAATTAAACAAAAAGAAAAAAAAAAAAACAAAAACAGCAAAAAAGTAAAAGAACCATAAAAGAGGACAAAAGAGAAGAAGAAGAAAGAAAAAAAAAAGAAAAATGGCAAGACAACAAATTTTCGAGAACGAGCTCGTGATAATGATAAAAGAAAGTATAATTTAGTTCGTTTGTCCGTAGTCGTGACGATCTCGTCATCGAGCCGTGATTGTTGAGGGTTGTAGAGAAGGTAATATATATAGTAATAATAATAGTAGTAGTAGCAGTAGTAGTAGTAGTAGTAGTAGTAGGGTAGAATACGAAATGGGTCAACAGCCGCGGCTTCTCGTTTCTCCTTCATGCTACTAATGGCTCGCGTTATTGGCAGCAAGAGGAGTCTATATCTGTGTGCACCAAGAGAGACTCTCGCTCCTAATTTCTCTTCGTAGGCGAAGATACGCTTTTGAAAGCATGATGTATGTATATATATATATGTGTATGTATGTATGCATGTATGTATGTATGTATGTATGCAGTGATTTCCTTTTCTCCCTCTCTCTCTCTCTTTCTCTTTCTCTTTTTATATCTATCTTTCTCTCTTTCTCTCTCTCTCTCTCTCTCTCATTTTTGGGACTCAATACTTGAACCTCTTTTATATCTTTGTTCGATGACTAAGAATGGGTTTGATAGCAAAGACCAGTGAACAATTCTAATGCAAATCGTTTCTCGCTCCGCCTTTTCTCGATTATTCTCTATCGGTTTTAAAAATATAATTTTTCTCTTTTTTTCCTTTCCTCTGTCTTTCTCTTTTTCTTTTTTTGCTTTTTTGTTTTTTCTTTTTTTTTTTCCCCTAATCATTAGCATATCCAAGATTAGAAGGATTAGAACGAGGGACAAATAATTTTTTATATTTTCTTATATAGGTTATATCGTTCTATGGATTTTTCTTTAATTAATTAATTATTTTAATGTCGAGATTAAATGGGTCGAAAAGAGAGGAGTTTGGTATTTTTTTCTTTTCTTTAGTCTTTTTCTTTTTTTTCTTTTTTTTTTCTTTTTTTTTTTTCTTTTTTTTTTTTTTTTCTTTTTTTTCCCCAAAATTAGGAGCTTTATTCAGAGAAGATATTTGGTATTGGCCCTTGAAGGTTTACCGTTCTATGGATTTTCCCTTTTTCATCTTTATCTTTACTTTTTTTTTCCTTTTTTCTTTTTTTTTTTTTTTTCGAGATTAGAAGGATTGAAAAGAGTGGAAGATATTGGTATTGTCTTTCGAAGGTATATCGATCTACGGATTTTCTTTTCCATTTTTTTTTTTTTCAAGGTTAGAAGATTTAGAAAGAGATGAAGATTTTGATTTAATTTTTTGTTTTGTTTTTGAGATGTCGTTCAGTGTTTTTTATTTTTTTATTATTTTTTTTTTTTTTTTTATTAATTGAAGTCAAGATTAAATTTGTTAAAAAGATCAGATACTATTATATAGTTTCAATTACGATATAATGTTAGATTAAAAATATTCTGATTATCATAAAGATAATATATTACTGAATATTGCAATGAATAAATAAATAAACAAATATAATATATACATTGCAATCAGTCATCTTAAATTTTGACTAAAACATTTCTTTCAAACGTTAGGATGACGATACACATTGAGAAATATTAAAATTAGAAATTATAATAAATTGCAATGAAATCATTATGAATTTTAATTAAATCGATGTATTCGAAGATAAAATATTACTTTCAAATGTTATCATCAATATATATGCATACATAAAAGTTATTTATAATTATAACAAATATATATATATATATATATATATATATATATATATATAACAGTATCATAACATTAATTTATTCTCGTTTATCTTCTCGACATTATCCAAGCAACATTTCAAAGGAAATCCTTGGAGTACACGCATCTGGCGTTATCTGGAATGGATTGTTGCACCTGTAGCAGTCGACTACTATTGCATCTGCTCAATTGCATTATACCGGAAAGGCTTCGTAATATACAATTTGTCATTATCAAGAATCAATATTTATTTTATATCTATGTAATAAGTAATCTCATTTTAATTTTAA